CCCTGGCCGCTGCTGATCCATGCTTTGCCAGCCATTAGCCTTGCTTTTAAACCGTGTGGCAGCACACAGTGGTCACCTTGAATCCAGGGTGGTTTGAAGTTGGTTGCACCCAGTGGAAACAAAGTTTTCCCTGAAGACTCACATCTTTCACATGCTGCTTTCATGATCACCTCTGCACAAAACGCAAGCTGGAAGTTGGAAGCGTGGTGTTCGGTTCATCCCAAACTGCTCATCAGGTGTGGGTTTGGTGCCAGGCTCACCCTGCCAGCTCTCTGCAGCCTGGGCACTGGGACTACCCCCAGGCTGGACTGGCCACCATGGCCAGCCCTCCATCCAGGGGGATGTACGTGGCCCCATGAAGTGCTCCTGGATGGGTCTCAAAGTCCAGCTAGGGCACAAAAATCTCTGGGACAGGTGATTTCATTGTGTTCTCTTCCTTCCCCAGCCTCTGCTCTTGCTTCTTCATCCTTACTTCATCTTCCTTAGCCCACAGGATGTCTTTTTGGCCTCTGTCCCTTCGCTCTATTGTGTGCAAACGAGCTGTCTGGAGCGGTGGGATGGAGCTGTGCAAGCAGAGCTGTGAGCTCAAGCACGTGTGGTTTAAAATAGCCCCTGTATCCAGGAAGCGAGCTCTGCCTGCCCAACCTGTGGCTGCTCCCGACAATGAAACGTGCTGATCTAAAAATCAGAGGCCCAGCAGGACTGGGGAATGGGGAGCAACCTACAAGCCTCCCAGAGGTTCAGCCAGGAGCCCCTGGGTCAGTGCTGTGTGCTGTCCCCACAATGGACCAAGTATGGATGTGCCTCTGGGGAAAAGGAGGAGGAAAGCACAAGGCTGTTCACTGTATCTCGGTGTCATGCTCCTGCCTTTGAGGGTTTGCTATCCATGGATTATCAAAGGCAAGGCAGCTGTGAGGCTTGCTCCTTGCCTCTATCTTCTTGCTGGAGTGGTCTGTGGGATGATTTGGGATGTGCCAGGCAGAAAACTGCTGCTTCTGCTCATAGACAGAGCATAGACAGGTCCTTCAGCTGCCAAAAGACTGGTTGCATCCTCCTCAGGGATGTGCATGGCTGCTGAAACACCAGTCCTGTCCCAGCTCCCTCCCTCCCCACCCTGCTCACTGCTCTCCCTTCTTTTCAAGAAAGAGGATGGCACTGTGAACCGGGACTTCAAGAAGACACGGACAAAGGAACAAGTCACAGAGGCCTTCAGGGAGTTCACCAGAGGAAACCACAATGTTTTGGTGAGTGGAGGGTGCTGGGGGGCTGTCTGAAGAGAGCTCCTCCTGCAGAGGCTGCCCTCGGCTCATCAGCTCCCTGCCCTGGGGGCCTGCATGAAAAATGCCTGAAAACTGGCACAGAGAACCCCCATCCTGGCACAGGGGTGAGGGAAGAGCAGTGGAGGGCTGGGAGGGGACACGTTAGCTGCAGCAGCACTGCTTGAGCCAGATCCAAGTCTGCTGAGGATGCTCAAAGGTTGGTTCCAAAACCGCTGGGAGGCACAGCTATGCTCTGCGCCCTCCTCCTTGGGGCTGTCAGCAGCTCTGAGCTTGTTTTGTACACCAGTATGGGATGGCAGGGGCTCCCACCCTGGCCAAGCAGGCTGCCCTGCCCTTGGTCCCACAGGAAGGGTGGCCAAGGCTTCTCCCTGCCTGTGCCAGGTGCCTTCCACATGGGCAAGCCACCGTCAGCATTTCCCAAGTTTCTCTATGTTGCCAGGAGAATAAGAGATGGAGCTGTAAACAGTTTACACCAACTGTGTCAAATACTCTGTTTGACAAAGCACTTCCATTTTAAGCTGTGCTATATAAAGCCTGCAAACACAAGGCTGCAGCTGGAGTGGCCTTTGGCGCTGCCTCCTTCAAACCAAGCACTTTACCAAGAGATACCCAGGGATTATTCCTGGATTTGCAAATGAAGTTGCCTGGCTGCATTTTATTCCCAAAGAGCTTGGAGCACACTCATGCCATCATGCCTTGGCTCTAAACTGGGCTCCTTGGCTAAACCGTTGCAAAACATCTCCCCACGCATCTCCCCATGCAAAGTGTGAAAATGTAGGTGTGTTGTAGTGCCTGGATACCTGCTGCGTGTGCTCCTGTGCTGAGTCCTTCTGTGGAAACCTCAACATGAAATTATCAAAGAGGCCACCTGAAAAGATTAAGTGCTTTGAAGCAGTTTGCAGGGTTGCTTGAACAGGTGCCTGGCTCTTGACCTGTGTGCTGACCAGTGTGAAAACCCTTCCACCTATGGTAGCAACTTTGCGTGATATGGAGTTACAGAAGCATCTCATGATGCTTGACTGACTGAGTAATAAAACGACAGATGAGGTGAAGAGTTGACCTATTAAAAGAGAGTGCAGGTGAGATTAAACAGAGGGTGCTGGGAGGGGTGATGTTCCTGACTGCCCCATGCAGCAGTTTTTATGGAGGCTTCACACAGCAGTGACAGACTGGGTTGGTTGGTTGTGTTGTTTCAATTCCAGAACAGTTACCTTAACCGGTTGAAGGGAATCCGTGCTACGCTGGAGACATCCCCGTTCTTCAAGTGCCATGAGGTAAGGACTCACATTCAGGTGGATCTGCTTGGAAATGCAAATGGCTTAATCTCAGCTTGTCCAAGGAGAGCAGTCAAAGAGGCTGTACACTTCTGCAGTTTTGAATTTATCCTTATATCCATAGTTTCATACCTCTGTTTATCTAATACTGATGTGGAAATACACCTCGTGGCTGATAGATGTTCTGACGTGGGCTCAAATCTACTGAAAGCCAATGTTCACACAGATTAGAAGTGGTTTAGGAGGAGGAACTCTGGCTGCTTATGGGCTTGTGTGCCTGGTAAAAATCCTTACTGTGGAAGTATAGGGGTTTTCTGGAGAGGAATGCCTGTCTGAATGTGCATCAGGTATCACTTGGCTGCTCCTTGTGACCAAACAAGGCTTCAATGTAGCCACGAATTGCAGATATTCTACAACTGCTTCTGCTGAGCTGGCTGGGGCACCACAGTAAGGACTATCCATAGAACTATAGACTCCTAGACTGGTTTGGGTTGGAAGGGACCTTAAAGCTCATTCAGCTCCACCCCCCTGCCACGGGCAGGAACACCTTCCAGTAGACCAGGTTGCTCCAAGCCCCTGTGTCCAACCTGGCCTTGAACACTGCCAGGGATGGGGCAGCCACAGCTTCTCTGGGCACCCTGTGCCAGCACCTCAGCACCCTCACAGGGAAGAATTTCTTCCTAATGTCTAATCTCAATCTCCCCTCTGTCAGTTTAAAGCTGTTCCCCTTGTCCTGTCCCTACATGATTCCCTTAGAAAGACCTTCCTCCAGAAATGAATGTCCACGAGATAAATATTTTCTACAGTGAAAATTCATCTCTGGTGGGAAAACAAAAAGGAAGCACTACTTATTTTGGCAGTTTCAATGAAACTGGACTACTCCATAATCTAATTATACCATGTTATTGCTTCAGCATTGGCAATGAGTGTTTGCTATTGCATCTGCTTAACAAAACATGAGAGCACATGTCCTTGGCATGTGTTGTCTATGGGCAAAAGAGCCTCATAGGAACCCTCAACTGAGAGAGCAGGAGCCACAGCTCCAAGAGCCCACTGCCCCTCACCAGGAGCCACATGAGCCACCTCAGCCCCAGCCACACGTGGAAGGGAAATGTTGAAACCCAGAGTTTCAGGTCAGTTCAACAGAGGAAACAAAATGCTCCCTGAAACCAAGTGCCAGGGTTTCATTTGAAAACTCAGAAACAAAACAGCCTTTCAAGGAGGTTTTGAAAGGAGTTTCCACTCCTTAAAAATTAAAAAGCAGCAGCTTTGACTTTGTGTCCCACTTCTCTAAGATGAAGCACAGCAGAAGGTCTGCCAAGCTCTGTGTGTCCCTCCTCAGGGCCCTCGCTGGGCAGGGCTCCTCTGAGGAGCTGCAGGAGAATTAGGAGGCCTAGGACAGGCTTTTCCTTGATGTTAAAATGCTCTATCCCAGCCAAAAGTGGGCTATAAGAGCTTAGAAGAAGAGCTCAAGATAAGCATTTCTGAGAAATAATCCATATCTGGACCTTGGATGTTTTCCCAAGGCGCTGGAGGAGGAAGTCTCCTCAAAAATGTAAATCCATAATAGCTTTTGCAAACAGTACGTGCTTCCCGTTTGAGACCTTGTCTAAAGGCAAACCTCAAACTAAGCCCTGCTGCTAGCACAGACGTGGGAGTCCCCAGTAACACTTAGTGCTGCTGTTTCAGGGGCCTGACACCAGCTGGATGCCCCTAGAGCTGTACTCCTCCTCGTATCTGCACAGTGTGGGGGGCAATCCTGGCTCTCAGCGTGCTCTGTCCTGTCCTGCCACTGATACAAGGGCAAGGAGCTCGTCATCCACCAGTTCGTGCACCTCAGGCATAATTTGGAAGGCAATCTTCATGTGGGCCAGCTCTGAAGTGTGCCTGTTAGTGGGCAATACTACAGAAAAGCACCAAAACCTTCTGAGTTGGAGGAGCAGATCCAGCAGAAGAGCACGATGGTGCATGGCCTGACACTGATGTGTGTTCTCCAAGCCTTGGGTAGCCACAGCAGAGCTGGAGGCTGGGCTGAGCTGGAGGTACCCATGGGCTGAGCATCTCTGCTCTGTGGGTGGTGAACATTGGACTTGTGGGGTCTTGTCATTCTGTGACAGGCCTTGAGGCTTATGTTGTCAGAGGTGATGTGCTTCACCTTCCCAAGTGCATCTCTGGGCTTCCCCACACTTGCCCAGACCAATAGTTGCTGCAGGATTTTCCCAAAGACTGATCAGGATATAAAAGAGCTCTTCAAAGCAGATGCAGCTGAGTGAACTCGTGCATAAGGAAATTCAGCTACATGCACCTCTGTAACTTGCGTCCCCAGAGCACTGTGAAAGCCAGAAGGATGTTCTAGGGGGAATCTGGGTGCAAGAACCTTGGAAAAAATCCCTATCTGATGTCTGAGACAATTCATCTCATTCCTTCTCTTGACTCAGTTTCCAGAATGACATCCCTGTCTTTCATGCCCATGTTTTTCTGATCCTCTCCTTCTGCCAAGAGCTGGGATTTGTATGAGTAAATCAGCTTGTCTGAATACCCCATTTGCATGTGCACCACAGCCAGCAGCACACAGAGCTTGCTTTTTGCCCATGCAAAATCTCAGCATCATCTCTTGCAAATGCAGCTTGAGATAAGGTGTCTGAGAGGCCTGAAGCTGGCTGAGATTGAGCAATAGGAGCATCACTGACTGGTCTCTCCTCCCTGCAGGTAATCGGGAGCTCCCTGCTGTTCATTCACGACAAGAAGGAGCAGGCCAAAGTCTGGATGATTGACTTTGGGAAAACCACCCCACTGCCAGAGGGACAAGTTCTGCAGCACAACGTGCCCTGGGTGGAAGGGAACAGAGAGGATGGCTACCTCTGGGGGCTGGACAACCTCATTCAGATCCTGACAGAGTTGTCCCAGAGCGAAGACTTGCATTAAAGCCATGTGTCCGACTCTGCCACTACCCCCAACCTGCCCCCGACTGACTCTTCTGAACTGCACTACAAGACACTTTCCAGCCCTGGCCCTTCCCATCTGAAAGCTATACTCTCCCTATTTAATGTGTTTTCATTGTGGTTTTTAGGTTGTCTTGATTCCCCTTTTTTCCCTCCTCTCCATGTAAATAGAGAGCTAACCTGCCAGAACAAAAGTGAACTTGAAACCTTGGCTTTGCAGTCGGTGGGAGCACGAGCCATGCCAGCAAGGATGGGGATGCTTAGGCGAGCACATCCTTTGCCTATTGCGCTTACATCTCTTGCGAAGCCTGATTTTAAGAGGACCTTTAAGGGGGCTGGTGGAGGAAGGAACCTCTCCCTGTGCTGGGGTCAGTAGTTTCATTCTGAAAAACTCCATGGCCATGCCCAGGACCCTCTGGCAGCCAGCCTGCATGAGTAAGGCCCGGAGATGTTGACAGATACTGGGGTGGGAGCCCTTTAGTTGTCTTTGCCAGCACCTTTCAGCCTAGGGAACTGGCTGTGCTGAGTCCTTATATGATGCTAGAAGGGCAGAATGGGGTTTTTTCTTGTGTTGGAGACATCCCATAGCAGTTGTTCAGTTATCATCAGGTGGCAAGGGTTTCCCTCCTGCTGCAGGGCCATGTGGTCGGGCATAGGTATTTATCATGGCCAGATGCTTCCCACCCATGTCCCCTGCGCTGGGTGCACTGGCACAGTGGATAACACTTCAAGCTCCTCTCTAGAGACCCAGCTGCCCTGCTTGGAGCCACTTCCAGCCCTCTTTAGCTGGGGTCTCCAGCCCTCCATGGGGAATAAAGACTTCGGGCAAGGCTGGGGGAGAGAAAAGTAGCTTACAAGGGACTACTATGGGACCTAAAGTAGCCATCCAGGTTGATCAGTCTTCTTTGGCTCTTCAGCGCTGTGTGGACAGTCCCAGCGCTCCTGCTCCTGTGAAAACACAGTTCCCTATTTAGGGTGGAGGCTATTTTATAACTTCCTGGAACATTTGAACTCAGCTGCTTGCTTGCAGCAGGGCTGGCTCTAAAGGTCAGCTGTGGAGAGGATGGTGGGGCGGGGAGCCCCTCATGGCGAGGACATCAGGAGCATGCAGGAGCTTGGCAGCCACAAAGCCATCCCCTGCTCCATCCCCAAAGCCACTGTCTCATCTTGCTCCCAGGAGCGATGCTCCAGAGCCCCTCTGCCATCGTTCAGTGGTCCAGCACCCTCAGTGGGAGCTCTTCTCCTGGAGCAATAAGGAGGAGCTGGCCGTCACGCCGCCTGCAGCCATGCCCTGGCCTCTTTCCCAAGGATTGATGTCTCCTAAGGTTTTTCTCAGTTCATCTCTCAGCACACAGATGTCTTCAGCTCATCTGATGCCATTGTAAATGGTTGCACTGTTTTAGCTCCTTGCCAGGCTTTCTAGAATAGCCCGTGTGGAAGTGCCTTATAGACTTGCCTCTGTTCCATTAGTGTCATGGAAAAGGTTGGGTTTGGTTTTTTTAAGTTATATTTATTTTCATCCCATTTTAATTGCACAAAACACTAAAACATAATGCATGGAATCCCTCTTTTTTTATTTTTAACTGTGTTTTTAGTTTTTAAACCATCCCATTTCCAGCTCTGGAGAAGGGATATGAACAGATATGCATAGATATGTACCACTTACCGCTGTACTTTAGCTTTGAGCTGCTCTTATACATGTATATTATTTTTTAAGCCTGTTTATAAACCAGATTCCTTGCTTCGTGGCTTCGGAAGAAGCAGATTGTTCCTCTCAGATGTCTTATGCCTTTCTGGAGGCTGGAAGCGTTGCTGTGAGGGGGTTTCCCTGCTCCCTCCACCCCTCTTGGTCATTGGGTAATACAGAAAACAATCTGAACCGGTTGCAACACCAACGCACAGTGCCTGTAAAGAAGTCCTGTAACCTTGCAAATAAAGGCATATGGGAAGCATTTGGCTGGCGTATGGTCTGTGTCCACTCTGTGACAGCCTGGGAACAACCCAGCAGCCAGATTCTATGTCTGTGATGGTTCTGGGGGGAATCAGGCTCCAGCTTTGGTATATGCCAGGATGGATCCTGATGAATGGGATCTGGCTTGGCAGGGAGCAGGGCAGGGTGAGAGCGGAGCCAGGGCTGTGGTTGGGGGGTCCAGATTGGGTGATGCCCGAGTTTCTCCATGCCCCTCCTGCAGGGAAGCCCACCAAAGGCAGCTCCACACCAGGAATGCTTTCTGTCAGTGTGGTTTTTGCTAATGCTGGGTGATGGCTGCCCCTGGGAGGTTTCTGAGTGCCACCCTGTGATGCCTGTGCTCAAACAGGGATGTCGGAGCTGCCTGGCAAAAACTGCTCCTCTTCTCAGCCACACCAAAGGCCACCAAAACACCAAGACTGGTTCTGCACTGAAGCAGAAATCAGGCAGCTCCAGTGCCTCCTGGTTGTTGGTGTGAGCACAGGACAGCAGGAGCCTGTCCTGGGGCTCATATAGCCAAGCGGGGGCTGCCCCACAGCAAAGCCTGATTTAATGCCCAGAGCCCCAGGAGCAGCCTGGCCCGGGGTCCTGGGGTCCCTGCAGTGTCTCTGCCGCTCACCATGGGGCCTCTAAAACCATCTGCAGGAGAAACCCAGCGTGGACTCTTCTTAAAGCCTAGAAACCTCTTGGTACAGGGCAGAACTCACAGTATTACAGCTGTGAGGGTGCTGTACGTGCACCAGCGGTCTCTCGTGGGCTCTCAGGAAGGCAGGCACACGCATCTGGCAGGCTTGCGTGCTCCTGCAGCATTGGTACCAACAGCACTGGTGTTTTAATCCTAGCTCCAGTTCTTGGGAGCCACAAGGGGGTCTCATCAGTATTATGTGTCTCCTCTTCCTACTTACGGAGGAAAACAGAAGCCTCCGAAACTCACCCAGCTGCACCCTGGAGTGCGAAACCAGGAGGTTTAACTCTTGAGAGTTAAGGAAACACCACAACGTTGTGGTGGAGAGGGGAAGGGTGTAAGTCAGGGCAAGAAACCCCTTGTGACTGAGTGCTGAGGTCTATGAGCAGTGCCAAGCTGGGGCTGCCAGCACTGCACACACCATGGCAAGAGCCCTGCTTGCCCCCCACCTGCTTTGCTGCACCTCCAGAGCAAAGCCCCGGGTTCCCTGACACTTCAGGGGTTAATAACCTTAATGGTTAATAAACTCAATACAGAGAAGAGAGGCCAATGCTTCTGTTAGTGCCACAAAGACCAATTTAGGTGTTGAAGCTTCTACTGCCAGGGAATGGGGCCTCCCAGCACTATCCCGGGGGATATGGCAGCCTGCTCAGGCTGTAGCTGAGGAGGGGGGCCCTGATTTTCTTCTTAATTACCTGGTTAGATGCTACTTGCAAGAATGAACCTCCCATAAATGAGGAGAGGCTGGGAGTTGGTGCAGGACTTTGCTGTGGTTGCTGATGGGGGTCTGAGGCTTGTGTGTTGTGGACTGTTCACAGCACACGCTGGTGGGGATTGTGGGTCTCCAGGAAGCCCCTCAAGAGGTGATTTGTCCCTGCCATGGATGATGCGGGGCAATGGTACTGCCTGGGGGGTGTGTGTGTCCCCAGCCAGAGCTCCTGCCTCAAGAAAGGGCTGGAGGGTCACGCTGCTGGAGCAATAAGACCTCTAAAGAAGGATCTTAAGTGCTTAATGAGTTACTTGAGTCGCTGGCACTTCTGCTGGCCATAAGTGAAGGTGTGGGGAGGGCGGGAGGTGCATCCCCAGTGTGGGTTTTCTTACACTGAGGTGCAGAGCGATGCAACGCTGCAACTTGGGGGTTGGTGCTGCCACCAATGAGGCTTTTCCCCTTTCACCGCCCAGGGACCAGGTGAGTCTGGGAGCTTGGCAAGTTGGGAGCAGCCCTTTGAGTTTCTCCCAGCACCCCATCCCCTTCTGCTGTGGGTACTGGGGTGGGTTTAGCATCCTGGGGTGCCTTTCACCTCACCCACTGCGCCTCGGGGATGCGCCCGGCAGCTCCAGGGTCCTGCAGCTTTGGTAGTAACGTTGTCGTGGTTTAAGCCCAGCCGGCAA